GAGTAAATATTTAAAATGTCATATGTATGAACTTGAAGTAAAGTAATTCAGACAAGGAGAGTCAGTTACTAGCGAAATTCGACCGCTCTCTAGTTTTTACAGTTGCCAAACCTTTTTTTCACCGACTTCAACAAAAGGGTAAGGTTATCAATTCGTCGGAATATATATATTTTTCTTTATGTATGTTACCGCATAACTTAGGGCCATGTCAACCGATTTCTATAATTCCTTTTTTAAAGGAAAGGTTCCCTCAAAGGTGGTCTCATTCGAATTTGCTTTAAATCCGATCAGTGGATCTTGAAGAAATTAATGATAATCTTAAATTTTTATATGGGAAGTGAAATCGGTTTTGTTTTTAACTTAAAAATTACTTGTTCCACCTTCCTTTTAGTTTTTTATACTTACATTTATGTATGGCTCCGTATCATTCACCTTTGTATTCGTTACAATCGCTGTCTTCGTACTCGTCTTTGGATGGCATGGCCTTCGTATTTATCGTCGTATTATTCTCTTTTGTCGTCATGTTTGTATTAATCTCCGTTCTCCGTATTCGTCATCGTTTCGGTGCTGTCTTTATGCTCGTCTTTCTCATCTTCGTGTTCGTACTCTTTCGTATTCATTTTCGTGTTCTTGCATTCGTATAGGATTTCATCTTACATATGTATACCATCAGATTAGATTCATGAATTGTGCACTTTGTATGGTCTTGCTATTCAGCCCAACAATTTAAACCTAGACCTGTTTAAACGGAAAAGAAAAATTGGAAGGTCTCAGCCTTCTGTTGGAAAGAAGCGCAAGCCTAATTGTCTCCGAGTTCAAGTTAAATTGAGCGCTTAAAGTTCTCGAACAATTCAGACTTCATGCCTACATTCGTCTATGGCCAAAACCACGGTTTCTATGTAAAACCGTTCATAAAGCCAGGCGTGGTTAGGCATTACTGGCGCCATGACTACAGCATCAGGAGTGGACAGGAAGATTTTGGTGAGAGCAATATTATTTGCTTCTGTCTTCAAATTACCAGTTTGCAACCAACTGATTGGAGCCTTTTTCATCATTCAGAAAGATTCTGATATTCTCTTCAACAACTAGTCAAGGGTTGCAGTTACGTACGAAATGTAAGTTGATTATGTCAGACACCATCCATTTGGGTGGACACGTTGTTGATTCGAGTGTTCTTAGCATGCGAGGAGCCAGCATCAACTCGGATATCTTAAGATCTAATCACGTCTCCGTAAATGTAGCTGCCATCACAGTGAACAGCCGAGAAATTTTGCTATCGAATCTCAATTCTGTTTAAACAAGAAATTGTTCATCGGCGATTTATATATTAGTAGTGAAAGAAATTTGAACCGCTGCGCAAGACCTAGTTATTATCGTGTAATTAAAATATTTTGCTATAATAAATATTCTTTCTGTTTTCACCCTAAAATCTTACCATATACTACACTACATATAAGCATACATACATATGTACATATATTTACACCGCTGCTCATCTAGCAGATTGAACAGCTTTAGGAAATCGTAACTCATTTCCTCAATCATTTTCCAGCAAGTGCCGGAACTTCTAGGAGTTGAATTTGAATTTCCACAATTTCCTTGGCCAAGTGACCCTTTGCATTGCCGCTATTAAACTCAAGGTCACCAAATCGCTTTAATATCTCCATACACCTGCGGCACGTTTAGCAACTAAACAACAACATAAGCTATGCAATTGCTTTGCCATCACCGAAAATGCCGCCAACCGAAGGCTTAGAGGCATTAATGCGTTCATTGGATGCGCACTTCACTTTCGATGGCGACAACGTGATCGCCCTGTAAACGATGTCATTTGCAAATGGGGTCCAACCAAAACAACAACATGAAAACAACAATTGCTAGGCGAGTGATCGGCCAGCGCCCCCAGCAACAACACAGCTGGCCATTTGAAGCCAGCCAACCGAGCAACTAACAACAACAAATGAATATTTGGGCGTGCTGTTGTTGCACACACGAGTATGTATGTATGCAAGTTCCATATGTAAGTGAGCAACATTGTATATTTCGATGGTCCTCTGCAATAACGGCACAACTCAAAATTACATGTTTTTGAGTTAGATAGCGGATTAGGTTGATAAATAGCCGTATTTTTCTATGGCAAATCGACATAGGCTTAGTTGTTACCAATCCGGCAGAAGCGCTGTTTTGCCATTTGTCAAAAACCTAAACCTTACTACTGAACAGTGGCACATGGCTCACATTTATCGTGAATATAGGCATAAGTCAAAAACTCTCGATAGGTTAGTCACGCTTTTATGCGAAATAACGACACTTTGTGCCGTTGTTCAGCAATACAAATTGATTTTTTTTTTTGTTTAACTACTTACGAGTTGTTACTTATTTTGGATTTTTGCAGTCCAACACTTACCAAAACTTTAGAAAAAATAATAATTTGAAAGCTTACAGAAGCTCCCCTACTGAATAGCTGCAAATAATCCGGAATAATTTCATTATAAGACAAATCTTTTTTTGCGAAATTACGAAACACAAAATCTTTAATTAGCTCTACTGAAATATATGAAATTTTGAGTTGTGTCGTTATTGCAAAGGACCATCGATTTTTATAAATGTACATAAGTAAATGGCATACTGCATACACATAGCGTTGTAAATACTATGCAAAGGTGTGTAATCACGTCTGTTGTAATGACAGTGGACGCATTTTTTTCTTGCTGGGTTTTTCTGCGGTTGCACACAGCTCAAAAAAAGGGCTAGCAATGGTGTCATTTTTTTATTTTGTTTTCTTCTTTGTTGTCGTTATCAGTTTTGTAGGTGAAGGCTTTGTGCCAATTCAACCGGCAATTAAATGCACGTCAACAAACACGCATCATCACGCGAACGGGTGAGCGAAGAGCACCAAGAGTCAAGTGACAAGCATTTTAATTCAACGTTGATGGTACCGCGGCCACGCTCGTACCGAAACAGCTGTTCATTTTGTTGTTGTGTTTGTAAATATTATGGCTTTGTTAGTCGTGCGCACGGGTCGTTCCGTAAGTGACTATATATGTATACCGCTGCGAAAGATTGCGAAAGATTACAATTTCATTGTGGCTACTGTAGCTAAAGCGGTGATTCATTCATTTCAAGACCAAATCTTTAATCGTTGACAAAAGCTACTGATGGCTAAGATATTATTCGTCTTATAAGGCACTTCTTCGCTGAAGTATTCAATCTATAGATTAGGATTAAGACTGCGACTTATCATTACGATTATGATTATGATTGTGATTAAGATTATGAATATGTTTATTATTTTGACGATTGTAATTAAAATTATGATTATGATTATGGTAATGGTTATGATTAGGATTACGATGCCGGTTGTGGTTACTAGTACTTTTTCGATTGAATTAAGTATTACGGAAATAAGCCACTGATTAAAGTAGTATATACTTAGTCGCATCCAAATTTGGGAAAGCTTTTACAATATTTAAATACATACCTAAATATATACTGCTCTTCCAATTTTTTTCAAATTCTTATGCTTCATTTATTGCAGTTATTGTCATCACTAAAAAGTTGATCTTAACTGCCCGTTGAAAAATGTTAAAAATTTGCAAAATAAATGCATGCCCAAATGGAACACTTGGCCTGCATCTTAGTCGAGCACCCTGGGATCCATACCCATGGGTGAGTGGCATACAGGAGGGCTCTAGCGCAGAAGAGGCCGGTATGTGCGTCGGTGATACAGTACTGGAGTTCAATGGCAGTGATGTGTTGGGAAAGAAAATCTTCGAAATCGCAACGAGAATACGTGAGCATTGGCAAAGTGGTGCAACCGATGTGACGGTCGTGATTTGGCGTAAGGAAGTAGAGGCGGATAGCTGCTGCAGCGACGAAAATGAGGAAGATGATGATGAGGACAGCGACGCGCAGGAGCATTTTACAAATAGCAATGACAGCGAAAGAGCAGCAGTGGCGGTGGAAGGTAGAAGAAAGGTGAGTTGAGTGGATTAGTTTTTTTTTTTTTTTTTTTTGAAGTTGGAAGAAACTTTGCAGTGCAGTCAAGCGCTGAAAATTTTTAACATGACAATTTACTGTTGCTGTGCAAGCGCACAGAACGTGTCGAATGTGGTGCATTTTGTAAGTCACGCGATGGTAATTTTCTTACAGCTTTATTTTATTTTTATTTTTATTTTTTACGAAATCTTGGCAAATTAGTGTAATCAACATGCTTTGCTGTTATATAAGTAATGCAGTAGCAAGTAAACATTAGCAATAGATTGACTTGTTTGTGTTGTTGTAATGCTACGCTGCCAATGTAGGTCAATAGTGTTACTTCAACGGTAGATATTAAATGCCTCGCTAAATTTCATAGCTGCTCTAGCAGAAAGCAACGTTGCGCATGCAATGAATTCGGAAATCATTTTGTTTTTTTTTCAATATTTTTATGCATAGTTAGTTAAGTTATTAATTAACAGTTTAACGAAGCAACACTGACGGTCAAAATACTATATTTGTAGTTAATTATATCTACATAAGTGCGCAGTTAAGAGAGAAAAAAACAGCGTTCCCGCACAATTTCGCTAACACCGTATGTATGTATTTACATATGTCCAATACAGTTTAACTGCCGTAATTATCACTTAAATTATTTAGTTTAACATCTGATCTTTGACGGACACCAGCGATACCAGCGCACAAATGCTTCCCACTTAAATGTTGCACGCAAACGTTTTCATTTAATCGGGCAAATTGGGCTTACAGAGGACAGCAAAGCTTCTGCCGTACACTTTCAACGAACATTAGCATTACCTAAATATTAATTTAATTATTTCAGCACGCTCTGCGCCTGCCTACGTACAAACACATTAATATCACAAACATTCACTGTGCAACACAACTTGAACCTACCTCCTCCTCCCCTCCCCACCCCTCTAGTTTGACAGTCAAACGGTTTTATTGAATTATCCGTGCAGTAGCGGCAAGCATTACAATTTAATTGACCTAAATATTCAAGTATAGGCTGCCTACCGAATTAATTGTACACACACCCGCACACACACAGACATATGTACACTCACGTAAACACATAGACTTCCGATTTAACAGAAGCTGCTTGCTGCAGCAAAACGGTAACATATAGCTGGGCGCATGAACGCATATCAATTAACAAAATCTGCCATTCAAGGTCATGTGTAGGGAGTTCTAGATAGTAGGCACTGAAACAAAAATTGCTGCTTGCCTATTTACTCTTACTATGTAAGTATATGTAGGTATGTTTGTGTGTCAATTAGGGCTGGGACTAACCGTTTATGCGGATATCCGGACATACATTCGTATATTTATGTGGATAAAGAAATGATGGGATATTATTCGGATTTCGGCGCAATGCCATCTATTTTCTGAAGCTTCGGAGACGTTTCCTAGGTATACATATAGAAGTTCCACTCCTAGATCCCAAATCCTAAAAAAGGCGTAATTATCAGGTGCTCATGAAATTTGAAATGATACCGAACTAATCCAAAATTTGTGCTGAAGAAGTCTTGAAATAGTTCTGAAAAAGTCGTGAACTTGTCTCGAAATGATCTCGAAGAAGTTTTGGAATGATTCTGGAATAGACGCTTACTAGTCCTAAAATGATTCGGAACTATCTCCAAAATACTGCAAAACTAGACCTAAAATAATACCGAACTAGTCCTAAAATGCTCTTTGAATAAGGTCGAACTAGTATCGAAATGGCTCAGCACTAGCCTCAAGATGGCTATCAAATAGTCGTGGACGAGTACTGAAATGGTTCTGAACATCTTCCGATTTGTTCCGAAATAGTACCGAAATGATTCCTGAAGAAGTACTGAAACAGTTCCGAAATGATCCCAAACTAGTCTTGAAATTGTGCTAAACTAGTCGTGAACTAGTCGCAAAATGGGCTTCAAATAGTCGTGAGTTCTTCGAGAAATGTTCATTTGTACATACAAGAGACTATTACAGATTTTCTGCTGCCTTACACAAGTAGGAGTTACAAATTTTAGCTATATCGAGAGCTAAGATATTAACATATCAAAAACCCTATAATGTGCCTGCTTTCAATTCGTGAATTTTGTTCAGAATTAATCAGTTCTGGATATGCGACTGGAATGACTTCTGGCGTTTCGATGAAAAGGAAATTCATAAAACTCAAACATTTTCCAGGAATTTTTTTCAGTTTTACTTATGAATTATTAAGAGCATTTTTTTTTAAATTCTGTGTAATTTTTTGCTAGTTTTTAGGTCGACAAAAGCCCTGAGTTATGTACGAGTGTCATAGACGGTTAAATAACACTGTTATAGCCGCAAAAAAGACATGGCTGGGCAGGACGGTTTCACCGCATTTGGGTAAGTGATATCGAACTGCGTCATTAGTTTTCTCCACGCCTTCGTATACATTTTTTTACCTCTTGCGGAAATTTTGCAGCTGTTTTCCTTATTAGCTTTCCTTTGGAGCTAAATTAAAAAAAAAAAAAAAAATTGTACGAAGATAAATTAGAGGGAAACCATCGTGGCCTGAAAAAGCTATCATAGTCCCATTATTTATGCGTTGACTATGTGATGTCATGGTGATTTGGCATCAGCGACCGCATAATAAATTATTGGATAGACCACGACTCTTTAGAAGAGAACTCTCAGAGAGCGGGTGCTAGAATCGAGTGGCGTAGATAGTATCTTCTGGCTATCGCAAAATTGTTGGATTTCTTTCTCAGTTTTCGATCAGAAGATATGCATGTGTTTTGGTGGATGTTCTATGTTCGCTTTCCGCCAAAATCGATCATATTCAGTCTATCACCTGGTGGCCTCAGAACTTCTACTCCTTATATAACTTATTTCTCAAGTCCTTTAAACGCTTTAGCTCTTTTGAATACCAAGGAAACTTGTATGGTAATTTAGCGCGTATGGGTATATATTCTTTGCATAAATTAAACTCGGTACTTCTAAACTTATCAAAACAAATAGTCACATCAACGACGCCAAAGCTTTCATCCCAATTGATATTTAAAATATATTTTTGTTAACTTATTAGTATATTTCTCAAACTGCTGGAGTAATCTTCAAAACTTTGGCATCCGTACTTATGTCATTTTATAGATCTAAAAAAAATCGTTAAGCCTCTCAGTGTTTTCCACTTCTTCATATTTTTATTGAATTTTTATTTTATGATTTTTTCGCTTTATTTACTACTTTTAAAACCTCCTTTTTCGTGCTTCCCAATTAAAGTCATTTACTTTGCAACTGCCAATTTTTTCTAAATTTACTTTTCTGCTGTATTTTCTATTTTCATGTGACCATTGCATACTTTGCAACTTGTGGCAGCGCGCACATCAGCATCAACAGCATACCAGTATTAATCAGCAGTCATTGCAGAAGTTCGCCACATGCCTGCAACACATTGCCCAATTATTGGAGTGTCCTGTTTGCCTTGAGGTAAGTTGCATGCGTTGCATATCGATGAGTTGTGTCAGTAGTTTGATGGCATTTAAGGGGAGCGCCGCTATTAACTTTGTCCGGCTGCCTGCCTAGCTGACTAACTATGACTAACTTGGCGGTGGTGAGGGCGACTGTCGGTGGTGCGGTGATTGGGGGAGCGTGCTCATGAATATTTGCACGCACACAACATAGAGAAGTTTGTGTATGTATGTACATATATTTGTATAGAATGTTTGTGTGCTCGATATGCATAGTTAGGCAATAATAACGCCAACATAGTGAATTGAGTACATGTACGAGTGTGCGTGTGTATGCCAGCCAATTTATGTAGGTTGTTAAGCCGTTCGACTGCGGGACGTGCTGAGGCGGTTAGTCGTGCGAGCAGTCGAAAAGTCAAATATGTATGTACATCTGTATGTATATATGTATCTTGAACAAGTGGTCAGGCATACATACATACATACGTTTATGTACTCGTATCATTGTGTAATTGCGCCGGGTTGCAGTTGCAATTGCTAATCACAGCCGCGCGGCGTATGAAGGCAAACTTTATATTTACTTTTGCTTGCTGCGCTTTGCAATTGTTATTAAATATTTGTTCTGCAACAAACTTCAAAAAGAAAACAAAATCGTTGCAACGAAAAAAAACGATAGGAAAAAAAATGCATTCAAAAACCATTTTAAGTAAACATTAGGAGATTTTATTTGTACGCGCGCTCACAAACAAAAGCGGCTTGCATATACACACACACACACACACGCTCGCAATGGCAATTTGGTATGCCTGCGCTAAGTAAATGTGCACAACTGCAACAAAAGTGAGTGTGAGAGTGTACGACTGAGTGGGTAACTAACAAGCGCGCATACTTAAATTAAGTTTGCTTTTGCCAAAGTTGCAAGCTTTTTGCGCACACTGCACTGTTTTCCGCGTCGATGTTTACTTAACTACATTCATACTTACATTTGTATGTATGTATGTCCATACGTATTTCCGCGTACATTTGGGTACTTTTGCAAAAAAAAACACACGAAAAAGTCTAATGTGGTTTGTCCAATCAATTTACGAAATGCTACCCGAGTCCAATGCGTTGTCGAATTGTTTGCTTGACAAACGGGGCGTATGAGTAACTTAAAAAAAAAAGAGAGAAAGCAAGTTGCTGTTTGACTATTGAGCGCAACAAAAGATTCTACTGAGTAAAAGCGTTAGGTTAGGTTAAGATCAGTATCTATTCATTCAGCTGCTTTAAGACACTAATAGAATTTTCAGCTGTGACTTCCTTTTAGAGAAGGCATGATATATAACACTGGATCACAAGTAAGCGTTTTTTTTTGTCCACCGGATGCCCTTATACAATTGCTATGTAGAATTGTTCGCTGATTCCGAAAATCGAGCTAATTGTTTTCTATGGATAAGTTTTAGAGATATTTGCAATTTGCCGTTTTTCAGCTTAAAATATTGGTTTCACTTGTTGCCGCACTCAGATTCATTTAACAATAACTTAAAGTGTTCCTCAGTAATGATTTGAAAAAATTCCCTCTCAGATTCGTTACCGGCATTTAATGGACACTAAAGTTAAGTAAAGAAAACCCTTTTCCTAAATTTTTAAAGAATGATTTTGAAGCATTTTTCATTCATCTTTTTTATTTTTTTTCTTTCATTTTCTCAAATATAAAAATAGTTTTTCGTGCTAGAAAAAAATTCCAGTTTCCTTTAGTTTTTTAGAAAACTTATTGCTAAACGATAAATATAATAACGCTATCTCCTCATTAGCAGAGCTTTCAAGATAGTTGCCGGAATATAAAGACTTTTGTCTTTCAAAAGGCTGTGGTGAGTTGAAAGACAAATGTTAGTATTTTTTTAATACAGGTACGTACAATTTGTTAACTCTTGTTTTTCAAGTTTTGGATCACTTGTGCCAATTGAAGCGGAGGCGCTGGAAATTTCATACATAACACAGGCCAAAAAAATTTATTTTGACTAAAATATTACAATCCTATATGGGATTTGTCCCGTGTGGCCCGAATCTGATCTTAAAAATTTTTAATTGGGTATAGTTTTCAAGCAATTTGAATTTAAAGGTGTCTTCCTCATCTTCATTTCCACTGCTCGTGTCAGTGTCCATCGGTATTTGGAGATTAAATCATAAAAAAAGCAATGTTGAGGTTTTCATATCCTCCCACACAGACAAATATATTGCATCAATTTATTGTTTTACAGGGGCTGAATAATGTTCAAAAACGCGTTTTTCGACATCTCTAAACATAGGTTGCTCGAAAACTAGAGCCAATCTAATATCTTTACTGTCAAATGCGGATTTTATGGGAAAAATCCTTTAAGAATCGGCTGTAATATTTTGGTCACAATAACATTGTTTAAATTAATCTAATTCTAAATAAATCTAATTTTTTCGCGTTAATTCATACGGCATACAAAAATTCTGTGCAGTATTTTTACTTTTTTTTTAAGTAGAAAAGCACCACGCAGCGCATCCATTCAAATATTTCACTTGTTTTCAAATCGTTATAACCTGTTGCGCGAGCTTCGAACTACAGAATTTACCTAAAGTGTAGCCTAAAATGTCACCTTTCAAACGCATGTCACTTTGACGCCATTGGATTAGTGTTGCCAGATATATCGTGCATGATCTTCAAAAGTGACACAACTAAAATTTTGACATTTTTGAAACTATGCATTAGAAATGTACACATAGCTTTTATTTAACTTTCAGCAAAAGCTGCAGTAAATTTTTGTTATAATTTGTTGAAAAAACCTAAGGTAAAGTCTCGCTTGCCCATATGATTAGCATGTGCTAAGAAATAGTTTTTCGCCATTTCTGACGAACGGGTAATTTTGAGTTGTGTCACCTTTGAAGATCGTGTGCGATATGGGCATTAGC